TTAACAGCAACCCAGCTTAAGGTTGTGTTTTTTGCTACGCCTTGTTCTATATGCTTTAGGCTTTAGGGTTCCGCAGAAGTGCTCGTATGTTGAATATGACTATCTCTGTCTCCTTGCCTTTTTTCAAGGAGGCTGCGGGGCTGCAAAATCTCTGTCATGAAAATCCTCTCGTGTAGTCATCAAGGAGTCATATCGAAAGGAGTGCCAAAGAAGACCCGATGAACGTTCAGGCTTCATGCACTGTGGAGGGGCGTACATGCATACACATGTACACACACATATTCAAATCTACACATGCATACGCATTTCTTTAAATATTGTTGCATACACACAGAAGATGACACTAAAGGGGATTCGGAAGGTCTTCAGGGAGAGGCCCAAGCCGACAACAACCCGCTGCAACGCCCCAATTATAGGGATTAGGGTTTAGGGCTTAGGATTTAAGCCTTGCATGGGGTTTAGGGTCTACGGCCTAGTGTTTCGGGTTTAGCGGTTGGCCCAACTTCGAACCTTCCAAATGTTGCAACTCTGTTCCTCATTTGGGATATTTCTGAAACCGTAAAAACTCTGGCTTCAATATACAAAGAACTTTACGGACACCATATCCAACAATGAAGCCTAAACGCAAACAGTAGTAATACAAATAATAACACATAACTAGTGAGAATCATAATAGCAAATACCTATTAGTCATACTAGTAGTAGTGACCCAAGACACTGAATGGCCCAAGTCTCTGCTGATTTGCGATCTCAGCGCGAGTGGTGATCTGTTTTTTCTCCAAGGCCACGCGGACACCGACCTCTTTCAGAGCTTGAGCAACAGAAAAAACACACAGAGGGTCTAGGGTTTTCTAGGATGGTTTTGGAGGGCACTGTAAAAATCAATGTTTATTGCTGCATAAGAACTATAGAGTTGCTGCATAAGAACTATAGAGGGATGCAAGGTAATAGACATTGAGCAGCATTTTCAAACCTTACCCCTGTTTGGGTCCAGGGAAGAGTTCAGGCTTGATGCACTTGAACCTTCATGGACTTGTCAAGTTGGGGGTCATTGCTGATGCCTTAGCTTTTTTTCTCTCCAGGGAGCAGGCACGGCCCCATGAAAGCAATGTATGCGAGAAGTGGGTGATCTTGCCTTACACTGTAAAACGAACTTGAACGACTCGTATTGCTACATTCCCAAAAATGCGTCCATTTTCATCCTGCTTCAGCTCCGCTGAACCTATGGCATTAAGAAGGGCCTTGCGATAGGCCCGATAGGCTCCAAGAAGAACCCGCTCCGAACTGGAGTACCCATTCCCTGGGGGCCCTCAACTTGTCAATCAGTTGCAGTCCGAAAGCCTTCGTGTTGACCGTGCCGAGGTCCGTCAGTGCCTTGATGGCACCTGTGCTGCTGCTCTTCACCTGTGCTGTGCCATGTTTTCAGAAGCGCTCGTGCTTGTATTGGGGTTATACTGGGATAATGGAGAATCAAATGGAAAAGAAAATGGAAAATTAAATGGAAACTAGGGTGTAGGGATTATATTGGGGTTATATCTATATTTACCATGATTATTATTACTCGTATTACTATTGTGGTGCTCGAGCTCAGGGGTTGAAGTCGCTGTATATACCTTACAGCGGCTGCGTCTGAAGGTTTGGGGGAATCTGGAATTCCAGGCACAAAGTACAATAACGCTTCATCGCGGTGAGAATGGCAAACCCGAATGCTACCAAAGTAGACCACTATGCGGAAAAGACAAACTATGTTTAATCCTGAATCTCAAATCATAATCTTTCCAAGGATGGTCGTTGGTGAACAGCCCGGAACGAAGCCCAAAAGAAGCGGCCTTAACTTCCGTGAAAGTACTCAGCACATATCTTTAAAACCATTGTTGGCGTGGCTACATATGGCCCAGTCTATTATTGAGTTGCCAACTAATTGGCGGAAGTCTCGTGAAGGACAATGCTGCATCTGTAGAGAAGGATGCCAGACCACGAGAATTGAAAAGAAGGTGGAGCAGCTCAGAAGCGCCTCAGTTGAGGCCTCACCCTGCTTGTAACTTCATAGATAGATAGCTGCAAGTGGGGTTCTGAATATCCTCCAACCATCAAGTAGCTGGGGAGAGACCCTCATACCACATGTCAGCCATACACTTGTTAGTTCCTCTTAAGCTTGGTAGCTGACCCAGACTCCCCGTCGTTGCTCTCCCATTTGGGGTCAAGCTACAAGTAGCTCAAAGTAGGGCCCTATAACTATAACTTGAAACCCCCCAGATAGGCCCATCTTTGATTTCAATTTGCCATTTCTTGTCCATTTGACTCTCTTCTATTCCCTAAACCCCCAAGCCCGTATATAACCCTGATATATCCCCATATAACCCTTAATAACCACAACCTGCCAACGTCACACACGCTTGCGCAAAAAAATGCTCCCCCATTCACAGCCTTACCCTCACCACCCTTTCAAATACACGTTCTGCGCCAGGATCTTTGTGAAATTCGCTCTTCAACAAGTAGAACAAACATCTCAGCCACCCAAGCCATCGACTACTGGGGGTTACCAAAAAACCAACTGTAAGTCCATCGGAAAGCCTAAAGCCTAAACCCTAATCCCCATTCGGCCTGCTTCTGCATCTCCTGGGCTACTTCGACAGGGGCAACCGTGGTTGGGCCCTCGTTCTCGATCTCAAGCCTCAGAATGCTTTTGTCTTCTATACGGATAAGTGGGATAATTGACATTACATGGCAGTGAACATATATATATATGAGAGGGAGAGAGGGGATGTGTAGGGTTACATCAGGGTTACATGTTGCGTTGCCTTGATTATTCGGGCCGTGCTTGGACTTGCATGGATACTTTTGACTTTTAAGTCTCGTACCCTTTCCATGATTAATTACCCTAACAACTACACCCTAAACGAAGCTTGAAGTGGTTAAGGAGAGATTTTGGGACAACCCATCCCAATCACACAAGCCCACCACATCCAAGCTCGCCTGGCCGTAGGCGTGGCCCCCTCCCATTTCCATGAATAATTCTGGCATCTTTCAAATAGATTCGGTGAGGGTGATGCATGATGTTGTCTATTGTCTATACTGCACCCTTAAGCTGCTCCAGATCATCCCTAATCCGAGGGTCAGTTTAACAAAAGGGACCATATTTAAAGATTTCTTTGGGAAAATTAGCCGTCAAAGACTAATTTCAATTAGGCGGGATTTCGTATGGGGAAAAGGGACCAGTTTCAAAGAAATTTTCTGGGGACCAATCCTGAAAATCGAGATATTCAATGCATTCCTATGCATTTTTAAATTATTCGAGGTCCAAGAGCCCCGATGATTCGGGAATGCATTCCTATTCTTTTTAATTGAAATCCAGGAGTCCCCATCATTCTTTTAATCTGGCGCCCTCCATTTCTTATTCTGGCGGGGGGGGCGGCCCCTCATATTAAACAGACCCTCGGATTAACAGCCACCAAGCAGCCCCTTAGGAAATGGATCTGCAGCTAGCTGTTTGACGCAAGTGGAACTACCGACAGCTTTGACACTAATCCCGCCTGGTAGCATATCTAAACCCTTCGAACCCCATCTCAGCAGCGCCTTCCCAAATCTGTGTCACGAACGCCCAGAACAACACAAATGAGTAAGAGCCCTACGCCCTACGCTCCGAACTAACTTCAAAGAGCAAGCATCGTTTTCTGCTCATGTGGCAATTCAATGTAGCTATTCACTTGCCCTACCTGCAACTCCTAAACAACAGCAAAGCGCTACAAACCCACAACAAATGCTGCTACTGCCTGTTGAGACATGATACAACCCCTTCTGGTATGCCGCGTGGCTAGGTGCCAGCCAAGGAGCATCACCACGGCACCCTGAGTGCCGGTGGATGTCCTCCGAGACAGACGCCTCGACTGCACCGCAGTGCCCTGATTCTGCTTGAAGATCATCTTGGTCTTGAGGCCTGCACTCGATAGTCCCTTAAGAAGCCGCATAGAAAAACCACTTATATTGGAGGTTCTCTGGTTCCTTGGCAAGCAAGGGCGGCAAGGGCTTTCTCTCAATGAGACCTCAGCTATGAGCAGAGTGTGTGCTTTACTGGAGATGAAAGAGCGGCTTTGGCAGCTTCTAGTGCGAAGCTTCTTTGTGAACCCAGCTACCCAACACTGAACGCACTTTGACCATAACATCGGACAAGCAAAGCCTGCCGCTTGACAGGCTACTACTATTACTCTTGTTACCAGTATTAGCACTATTACTATTACAATTACTATTACTATTGCTATTACTATTGCTACTACTGTTATTATTGTTACTATTACTATTACTAATGTCACAGCTCTGTGAGGGGCCCCGTCTCCAAACCGTTCCGGACGAGAAGGAGCTAAGCAGGTACATTTTTCTCCTTAACCAGAATCAGAATTCGCAGCCCGAGACCGACAATGTTGAAGATTCGCATCATGCACTGCAACTGACACACTGTTTGTAGTGTTGCATGGGGTATGCAATGGGCCGATACCGAGCGCTTGTGTTCACTGTCATCCCACACTCATGCAGGGTTTCAACAAGCCTTATGTTCAGGTAGGTGGGCCCTACCGACGACAGGACGAAGAGTTTAGGGGTGAGGGGAACTAGGGGTCTTCAAGGGGATATGGCGGATATGGTAGGTTGGATAGTGAGGACCTTGAAGGTTCCTGGGCAGGTACAAGCGGGGGTGTATACCGAGGAAACGATACTTCTGACTCACCCCTGTAGGGGACTACTCATGATCTCTCAAGTCGGCAGTGATTACTGGGAACCAATAAGTGAGTATCTTGAGAGCCTGGGGCCTTTCAGAAATAGAGAGCCCCAACGTAGACCCCAACATGCCATACTGTATCCCTATCATAGGGACTTCTCGAAAAACGGCTCTTAATTTTTGGAAACCCTGACCACTGAATATCCATATGCTCCCTTATACAACCCCATGCAACCCCTTTAGCCCCACATATCCCTCTATATATGTATGCATACATATATATGTGTGTGTGTAACCTACATATCCGTGTGTAACTATATACAGTATATCATATATCCCTATATATGCGTATACAACCCTTGGAAGCCAAAGCAGCCTTCTGCGAGGTGCAACTCGCCGTTAATCAGAACGCGCACATCCTCCAGCTTCTCCAGGGCCTTGTCCTTGATGGAATCCAGGACCAAGATCACCTGTAAGGGTTTGGGATTCAGGGATTTGGGGGTTTCCCAAAATTAGGGGTACCTTTTTGGGGGTCCCAATAATAAGGACTATAGTATTTGGGGGTCTATATTGGGGTCCCCTTATTTGGGGAAACTACCATTTAGGTCAAGGGTTTAGGGTTTAGCGATCACCTGGAAGGCCAGATTAAGGGTCTAGGGTGCGGGCTTCAAAACCGGAAATTGCGGTACGCCCTTACGCGTCCTTGTTTTAATCTCAACGCCCCCTCCCCTGTTTTGCAGAAGGAAATCAAATGAAAGCTCAAATCCAACCCCTCGTTTGCGGGTGAAAGTTGCCACGGCAAGGACCTGCCCCTCGGTTGAAAGTTAGGAAGACAACGATTGAACATTCCCTACAACAATCATCTTCCATCCAGGGCCCAGAACAAGTAGCCACTGCCGTTGAAAGGTCGGAAAGCTTTCATGTAACGGATTGTTCCCTGAAACTACAAGGCCTGAACATGACACCCTGAACCCTAAACGAACATGACCTGTAATAGACAACCTCTAGACTCAAACCCCTAAATCCTGAACGCCTTGGAGGTCTGCTTCTCTCCGCTGGCAACAGCAGAGGCGTTGCTTCCACCCTTGCCGTAGAGGTCCTGCTGGCTATGGTTGCCAAAGTTTCTGCTTTGGATCGCAGGGGGTAGGCAAGGCCAACGAGCAGCCCGAGAAGTAAGTGTGAGAAGCAGAATGAAAACCTCACGTACTTGAAATGCAAAGATGCATTGTAGTGCCTGAAGGGGGAGCTGTGTCAGGAGACGTACGCAGAGCTCTAGGAACTATGTTGCTTGGAACTCTCACAGGCTTCAGACAGGTCAGCGGAAGAATGCCTGAGGGAAGTCAAGGAGCCACGAAAGCAAAGCTCTACCTATCAAGGAGTAGCGGAATCACTAGTTGCCGCAACATCAACAGCAGGAGGTGTCGTTCTTGCCGCTGTAGCTGCAGCCGTAGTTGCAATTGTTATCCTTGTTATGGTCATCATCGTTGTCGTCGTTGTCGTTGTTGGTGTTGATCTGCTTTCTGTCTTTGTTCTTACTGCTGCGGTTGTTGTTGTCGTTGTGTTGTGGCGGCGGGTCTAGGGGTAAAGATAGTGCTGCGGCGGCGCAGCGGCAGCTGCGGCGCTGCAGGAAATGCAATCATGAAGCTTAATGACTTAGGTCATAATAAAACATGACAGTTATGGTACTGACCGACAAAATTATCCGCGACAATCTTCCATGCGCGCCTGTAAGGAACATCAAGTTGAATCTGCGCCTGCCACTGAGGAAGTCCTACCACGACTCCATAATTATGCAACCTTGGGTGGCCTTAGGGTGAGCCTCATGGATCCCCTCATATAGGCTTCTCAAGGATTTCGTAATGCACAACTTGAAGAACGTGGCGAAGCACGTTGCCTGACAGCTTGGCTTTGCCACATCATCCTGGCCTTAAGACCCTGGAAAGTAAGTAGGACTCTATGGGGTTTTGCGTGCCGCTAGATCTCAAAATGGAAGTTCCGCTTGTATCTTAAAATCAGGAACTGAACTGCAGAAACTGGGTCCAACGATTTGAAACCTCCATCCAAAACTCCCGAAACATACCTTTTCCGTGACGCTAGCGCGACATAATTATCAAGAGGTTTTTTTTCTGGACGGTACAAGCAGCTCGCAGTACCCTCATAATTACCTTCCGAATCTAGAAAGGTGGTGTCAGTCTTTCATCTGGCTCATGTAAGGTATCCAAGCCTGGTAGAAGGAGCTGGTCCACTGAAACTTGTTCTGGAGCATGTAAAACGAGATGGAGCGAGATTGCAGACGGAGTATTGGACTTTTACCCATGGGCCAGGCATTTGTGCGCTGCTCATTTGGGTTGCCAACCAGCCCTGTAGGGAAAGACCCCGGCTCTTCCACATTTTTCGATCCAGGATCATGCAAGGATTGCACTTGGCTGCTTGTATCTTGCGTTGCAGCGCTTCAGTTGGGCCTTAAATCTCGCTTTTTTTAGTATAGAAGCACTGAAGCAGAAAAATGATCTCATTAGACTAAACACATGATCTTCAGGACTTATGCACAACGTTAGACATGTTTGAACGTTAGTGCGTCGCTCAAATGAGGACAAATCCCCCTGACGGCGCCCAGGTCCTTGCACTGCTTCCAAGCTGGAATGTGAGATCCTGACAGGCACTGAATCTTGGGCCTTCCAAAGGCATTTTGGTTGTAAGGCTTGAGGTTTGGAGTTCCGGGTGCAGAGTTTTCAGGGCTTGGAGTCTTTCTTCACATGCCAGGCGAGATTCAAACCTTGCCTACCAACTCAGAAAAACTTCCTTCATGAGGCCCTCAACCTCTGAGCCCCAGTTGGGCCAGGTCTTATAAGACCTGGCCCATATAATATAATATGAATATGACACCAAAACACCGGGTCGGGCTGGGGCCAAGCAAAAGAAAACTTGTAGGAATCCCCGCCCAGTCCCCAAGCATCGCCCACAGGGGCCAAGCAAACCTGGGGGGGAATACTTACAACTGCGTCCATGTCTGTTGGCTTCGGAGTCCTGAAGGGCACTTCTGCATGTTCTGCCCCGGCAGGCAATTGGCGGGACTCACCTGGCTTCTCTGACAACCGTGAGGAAGAAGTTGTAAGTCCCCGTTTTCCAAACGTAAGGGTTGCCTTACAAAAGCGAAAGGCTGAAGGCAGGATTGTTGCTCGATTTGCGTAAGAAGTTTCAAGGGGCCCCTCCTCAAATAGATGCCCCCTCCAGCTGAACAATGTTTTTGTGGAATCAGGTAATTCTTGTCATTGTTACTGCTACTGTTACATCTACTGCCAATGGCGTTAGTTCTTAGTCCGTCTAGCATTGCCATGTTTACTTCTAGCAGCACTAGCACTAGCAGTAGCACTTGCGCCAGCCGCCAGAACCCACACCGGCACCGGCACCACCACCGCTGCCGCCACCGCCATCACCACGATCACTAAGATTGCCATCATCACCTAAGATCGTTAAAACAAACTTCTGTGCAAGTGGGTCACGCAGCTGATGCTCTCAGACATGAAGGCGCCGGTCTCCGTAAGGTGTGTCTGGATGCAGGTCCTGACAACTAGCTACGGCTGCGCGTGAACATGATTCTCCCACCTGCATACAACGTAATTCTAGGAAGGATCCTATGCCTACACCGCTGTGGGGTAGTGATGCATGTTTACTTCGGGGTCGGTGGCTGTCGCTTGCAGCCGCTTCTCGGCATGCAGGCCTGGGTGATAAGTGGCTTTGTGTGGTGTGTGTTGCTACGGTGGGATGGCATCGAGCGCGATGGCCCTGCGAGAGGTATGCGTACTTTGTGCCTGCACTCAGAAAAGGGATCAATGGACTTCATGCTGTTTATGAGACGAGTCATAGTAATAACTGTAAGCCTTAGGTGACCATGCTTCTAACAAACCAGGCAACTCAAGTACTGCTTCCCTAAGCTGAGCTTTCCTCCAAGCCTCCACACGTGATGTAGTTGAGGATACACGCAAACCGTCTCTCAGATTTTGTGGGAGTGTTCCATCAGTTGGGGTTTGCCCCACGACCATTGCAAATTATCCTCGATCCCAAGCTTAACCAGGCAGCCAAAAGAGGTTCCCGGCCTATTGCCCGCTGCTTCCTGTTCCGGTGTGCATGCCTTTGGGCAGGTATTCTGGAGAGTGCCGCTATACCTCGGCTTGAACTCAGAGGGAAGCCTAGGACACATGGTTATAGTCTTCTGAAAGGGGTTATATAAGGGAGTATATAAGGAACTATTATAGGGGTTATTAAGGAGTAGACTTGGAGTTTAGACTATGGTTCACATGACAACTACTGTGGGGGCGCTACAGCCCAAACTTTGAACCAAGACCAGCACTGAAGCCTGCATGTCGGAGGATTGTGGGCCTAAAAATGCGTGAGCTCCTCAGTACCTTTGGTTAGCTGGGAATGAATGAAGGAATGCATCTTTATAGTAATCCCGAAATAACCCATTATAGTAGCTTCCATTCTCTTTTCCATTCCTTCATGTACAAGGTCCTGAAGTTGGGGTGCCTGCATCGGAGCTCTCCGAGAAATTGGATGGCAGTTGTTTCACAGTGCGGCTTGCGTTACCTGTGCATAGGGTAATTTCCATAAATAGGGGGACCTCAATACAGACCCCAAATACGTACTATACTCCTTACAATTGGGACCCCCAAAAAAGGTATCCCCTAATTTTGGGAAACCCCCCCATAATCAGGATCTTACTCCCTGGGCTACACAGGTGTTTTAATTGGGACACTGGAAACGCATAGGGAAACGCGCCTTTCCGCCCAGAGCCTCTTAGGGGTCCACCCAATTATCCCAGTATCATCCTAAACCCGAAACCCTATAGTAGTTTCCATTTTCTTTTCCATTATCGCAATATAGCCCAATATAACCCCAAGATAACCCTAGTATAGGGGGTTTAGGGACCCCATGGCTAGATTGGGGAGTCTACGGGATTCTTGGCAGGTTCAATTTTTAGGATTGTCTTGTGGGTCTGGGTGTAGATTGCTATGTTTTCACAACGAAGCGAAGAAGCCAAACGGCCTAGGTAATGTCCTATCCCTGGTGCTCCCAGTACCCCTTGATCCCCCGACTTTCCTCTGATTAGCCAGGAATGAAGGAATGGCTACTAGTAGAAGTAGTAGTAGCAGTAGCAGTAGTAGTAGTAGTAGGAGGAGGAGGAGTAGTAGTAGGCGTCGTAGTCGTAGTCGTCGTAGTCGTCCCTATAAACCCTCAAGACCAGAGTACTTTTGAATCTTTTCCATTCATTCATTCCCTAACCAGGGGTATGTTAGGCTCCCCAGTCCCCAGCCCGCTTGAAGCCACCCTGCAGAAGGACATGGTGTTCAGGGGTTAATTAGGGGTTTAGCGGGTTCATGGTATAGGGTTTATAAGGTTCAAGGGTTTACGGAGGGAGTAATTA